GGTGGGGGGGGCGACCGGCTTGGGTGGGGAGGAGGGAGCGCCGGACAGCGTTGTCTTCCTCATTGCCAGCTGGAGTTGAATGGGGTGGAGCTGGAGCCAGGGACCGACAGCGAGGCAGAGCCCGAATTCCTCTCAGAAATCATGGAGATGAATGAGAAGCTGGCAGGGACGGACAGCGAAGACGCCACCGCCGCGGAAGAGATGGGAAGCTACCTGGCAGGTGGGGGAGAGGGTCCTGCACAGAAGCTACCAGGGTGGGTGGGTGGGGGGGGTGCTCTTTACTGTAGTGGGAAGCCAGAGCCACTCCCGCCTTTCTGGATGGCGCCCCTTGTTAACCGGTACACTTCAGACTAGTGACACATTTGTGTAGGAATCCCCGCCAGCCGCCCTGAAGCAGGAGGCCCCCAGTGCAACCATCAGGTTCTAGGCAGGCATCGTGTGGAGACGTGTTTAAAACAGTGGTTTCTGTGCTGTTTGAGAACACATATTTACAGAAGTTCAGCCTAAACTAACGTGCGCTGCCCATCTGGTTGTGGATTCCTTTGCCAGTCCCCACCACCCTCCTGGTGTATGGGAGGAAATATGGGGCGGGCGGGTGGGGCGACTAAAGTGTGGGCGATGCTCAGGTGCTGGGGGTGCCTTCACAGTTGCACCAGGGGTGGCCAAACTGCCACTAGGGAGCCACGTGCGGCTCTTTCACACAGCCTGATTTAATGTTAATAAAAAGCAAAATTGCGTATTTTCCAATAAAAACATTTGTTCATGTCTTGCGGCCCTCAGACATCTGACGTTTATTCTATAGGGCTGTTAACATTAGGCCAGTTTGGCCACCCCTGAACTACACGCACGTTGACTAGGTAACTGTGCTTGAGTCGTGCTGTAGAAGTGAGGCTCCTAGACATAAGTGGCTGTGCACCGGAACAGTGGTTTGCAGAGCTGCTCTGGACGTGTTTCTGAGCAGGGCTGAAGAAGACCTGGGGCCAGAGGTAAATGTTTTTGCACCAGTTGGGAATAGTGGCCGTGGTGCTATTAAGTTCACTGTTTTTGTCAGTGGAAAGTTAGCCATAAAGTCCAAAACAGTAACAGTTGATTTCATAAGAGAGAACTTCACAAACTGAAGGAGAGTAGTTGAAAGGAAGCCAAAGAGGAAGCTCAGAGAGAGCCAGATCCCGGGAGGATGCTTGGGAGCTATTGGAAACCACACTCGTTGAATGTCCCAGGTTTGGAAAGGTCCTTCCAAATCTAAAAGAAAATGTCGACCCAGTGAACTGCAGCAGTGAAAAACGCAAACTCTATACTGGGGATTATTTGGAAAGAAAATGGAACTAAACAGTGACTATAATAATGTCCCTGTACAGAGCTATGGTGTGCCGTTGGAATACTCAAAAAAGACATTGCAGAAGTACAGGAGGGGGCCACCGCGATAATTGAGAGGTTGGAGCACCTTTCTTATGAGGAAAGGGGGACGAGTCTGGGACTTTTCAGTTTAGAAAAGAGATGACTAAAAGGGGGACAGACGGACGTGAGAGAGGTTTATAAAAGTATGCACAGGCTAGAGATTGTGGACAGAGGACTCTTTCTTCCTCTCCCAAAATACTAGAACTTGGGTTACTTCTTTACTCAAAGAGTGATTAAAATGTGGAATACACTGCTGGAGGATGTAGTAATGACCAAAAGCATCGATTACTTTAAAAGGGGATTAGACAGATTCATGCAGAAGAGGTCTATCGGTGGCCAATAGCCAGGGTGACTAAATGGAACCTCCATGTTCAGAGGCAGTAAATCTCTGTAGACCAGTGTCAGCAACATCAGAGGAAGGCCTTAGCCTTTATGTCCTGTTGGTTGGCCCTCCAGAGGAACTGGTTGCCCACTGTGAGACAGGATGCTGGACTAGATGGGCCTTTACTGGTCTGATCCAGCAGGGCTCTTCTTATGGGATAAAGTGAGAAAGAATTCCAGGCGAGCTGATGCCAATGCAGTGTGTGTGTGCGTGTGCACCTGCCATTACGTTAGATGACCAGAGAATGTTCTTATATCTAAATACATTAAGTGAGACATTCTTTGTGAAAGCTACAACGCTAAAGTGCAGCTGCTTCCTTAGTGTTCAAAGCACATTTCTCTCTGTTTTAGTCTTCTTTAAAGCTCCCCACAGTGCCCTCCCAAAGTATCTTTCGTAGCATTGGTGAGGCTGAAAGCACGCGTGGGTTTTAGCTTTTGCCATCTGAACTCCGTTCTCGTCTCTTTCCCTTCTAGCCAGGCAGGAGGAGCTGGCCAAAGATGTGGGACAAGCATTTGATCAAGGTAGGCCGTTCCCACCCTTGCTCCACACGTGCTTTCTGATGGCCTGTAGTCTGGCCCTGGGACGAGCTATGCTGCTCCAGGCAACACCTGTCCGATCTGCTGCCAGATCACATTCACGGGGCTTGTGGGACAGCTTTGTGCTCACCTGAAGCCAGTCTGGACTGCATGCAGCCGTCTCTTCTGAACTTCTGAGGTCCTCTGACTTGGGAGTCTTAAATCTAATCCTTCGTGCTTTTGCTAGGGTTTCCGTGCGTGTGCGTGCTTTCCTCATATTAGATGTAGGAGTGCGTTTTTACAGAAATGCCTTCTGGCAAGAGCAGCCTGGTTCACAGAAGTAGTTGAATTGCTACATTGGAGTCTCTTGAGAGAGAGGTAGACAGACAGACAGACACACACATTTTAAACTTTGTTTTAGACTGTTCTTTGCCCTGAGGACCATGAACCTGGTGGAGAAGCAGCATAAAAATGTTTACAATAAATAAAAAGTCCAGTGAAAACCTGCTTTTTCTTTCCTTGGATTGCAGATGATCTTCAGAAAGCAAAAAAAGTTTTGATCAAAATGAAATATTTTGCAAGCCTGGAAGAAAAGGTGAAGAAGAAAAAGATTCCCTCCTGACACCACATTACTGTGATGAATTTTTGCTGTTTTATATTTCCGAGGTAACTGGAAGCAGTAAATCCGCCATTGTCTTGGTCTTCCTGCTCCTGAGAAAATACAGAGAGCCCCGCTGCTGGGTAAGACCACAGGTTCAGCGTCCTGCTTCTCACCAGCTGCCTCCAAGCAAGGCAGTCCTTCCTCTGACGACTGAGACGCCGTTGTGGAACCTGGAGGCTCCAGGGAGACAGTGTTGCTCATAGCCATCGAGGGCCAAGAGGAGCAGGACTCTGGAGCAGAAGAAGCCGGCTGTCGCTCAGGAAGGTGTGCATGGGAATAAAACAGTCTTCTTCAAGGTGCTGCAAGCGTCTTCTCTGTTTTTGCTGCCGTTTACGGCCACTTGAAAGCCACTTCCGCCGGTTGCTGCGGCCACCTTTCGCTTGTGACGGCTAAATTTACGCAGGAGTCTTTGGAAAGCATATTACTTACTTTTATAACTTTTATATAACTTGTTTACAGGTTAATTAACACAAAGATCTCCAAACAGCTGTCAAGGCAGGACTTTGATTTGGAGATTCTAAATTTTCTCAATTTCTCTGTATGCTTCATTCTCTTTCAGTAATGTTTTCTGCCAGTTCACCTGGAACGGTCATTGGTCTAATTGGTCCACCAAACTGGTCACCTGACCACCGTCCCCCCTTTTTTTAATGAATATATGTTGGGTGTTTCCATTGAAAAGGCTGTTTTGATGGCCATTCATTGTTTTAGAGCAAAGTTTGAGTCGAGTGGCACTGTAACAATTCCTTGTTTCTGTGTGTGTGTGTGTCTCTTTAAAAGTTTGGTTGCATGGCTGTGATAAGTAGACTAGAGTGGTTGAGAGAAGCAAGTGTGGTATGATTGGTGGTTGACAGAGAGGGGGAGGGGTTTTGGAAGTGAAAATGAGTGGATGAGTATGTATGTCAGTCAGGAGTGACAGTTACAGTTTGGACAGTTGATAAGTTCAGTTAGTTCGGTGTGTGAGGGAAGTGAGAAGCAGTCCTGTGTGGAATAAGTTAGTTCAATGAGAGACAGAAGGAAGGCTGAGAGAATAGGAAAAAGTAAATGAAAGTTTAATTGAAGACAAGTTATAGGAAAGGCTGTATGTCCTGATAAACTGGAGAGAAACAGTGAACATATATGACCTTGAGTTAAAGTGTTACAAAGTTACCTGAAAGATCCCTGTCAGTAAGGGAGCAGATTGTGTGTGATACACCAAGCAGTGGTTTATTATTTACACATTACTAGATACATTGTTCTACCCTTTTATTTATGAATTATTTCAATAAATCCTGTTTTATTCAAGTATATCAGCTCTGAAAGAAATACTTCCTCAGGACCGTATAGTTTCTCGTAAGCCTTGACCTCGGTCTACCAAAATAGAAAGAGCAACAGTAAAGTATAAAGGTTTGGAAATCCTTAAAATTTCCTGGTGGCAGCCATCTATACCCAGTAGAACAAAATAAAAAGAACACTTTTAAAGTGAAACCAGTCCTCCCCAATAAGGAGGACGTCACAGGCACCTTTAAGACCAACCAAGTTTAATTCTGGGTAGAAGCTTTCCTGTGAATGCACACAAAGTGCCAATGCACATGAGGGCTTAGACCTAGAATCAAACTTTGCTGGTCTTAGAGTTAGTACCACATGACTCAGACTTTGTTCCGTTGCTTGGGGCCAAGACAGCTGCCCATCTGACTCTGAGTTCATTGTTTTGCTGGAGGATCACTTTTCCACCCTTAATTGTCACAGATGCCAGAGAGAACTGACTGGCCCCACTAAACACTGGGCTAAACGGCCAATATCTGACATACCCGTGTGGCTGTAGGGACACGGTTTGTAGGGACAGCAGTTTGGTGTCGTGGTTAAGTGTGTGGACTCTAATCTGGAGAACCGCGTTTGATTCCCCACTCCTCCTCCCCATGCAGTCAGTCACAGTTGTCTCAGAGCTGTTCTCTCAAGAGCAGTCCTCGAAGGAGCTCTCTCAGCCCCACCGACCTCACAGGCTGTCTGTTGTCGGGAGGGAGGAAGGGAAGGAGACTGTCAGCCGCTCTGAGCGAAGGGGCAGAGGTTATAAGTTCAGTCTCTTCTTGTTTTGGTGTTGCAGAGATTCTGCGGGAGTGGGGGGGGCCTGGTGGGGGTAACATTCATAAGGTAGGGCTGACACCGGGATACAAAAAAAATATGTATTTTTGAGTGGAGAAAGGTATAAGTCAAAATAAACGTTTTAGCCACCTGAATGTATTTCAGGTTAGATTTCCAAGATGCATGAATAGAGTAGCTGGTGAATGCCCCGTAAATAGTGATCTATTTCATCCCAGGGCAAGGGAGGGTGGGGGGGGATGAGGCAAAAGGGCTTCTATGGGAATTCCCAGCCAGTCCTGCGGGGAGGGACATGAGTCCTGCTGGGTCAGACCAGTGGTCCACCTAGACCCACAGCGGACACCCGTCACGTGGCATTTGTTCCCCCTGGGTGAGTCCCCCACCCCCCCATCTGTTTGACATCACCCATGGTGTTCTGTTCTGTTTGACATCTAAATGGAATCAATGGGACAAGGTCATCCAGGGGTTTGGTGTGAGAGGTCACCAATATGTGTGACATCCAGATGTTTCTCAGCAGCAAAATTGGACTGAGTCTCTGGAAGTCCCGGGCAGGTACCAGGAGAAGGCAATGGGGGTGGATGGGGCCAATAAGCTGAAGCTCAGTCCAGGCAGAACTGAGAGGATGGTGCCCTTCGGCCTCCAGAAGGCCCTGCTGCCCAAGGCTTGCCTGGTGGCCCCCCCGCCCCCCAAATACGGTCTCTCTAGGTGGCTAAGGCCCAAACATTTCTTTTCGCCCAGGCTTTTAGCGGAGGGGTTTTGTCTTTTAGCTGCTTCTGTGGTCTGCTCCTGGTCTGAATTGGGTTTTCTGGATTTTCTCTGGGCCCCCCATGGTGGTCTTAGGCCATTCTTATGCCCCTGGCTTGTTTTGTGTTCATGATGTTTTTATGGATGCCTCCCTGAGCAGGACTCTGGAGAGGTGGCTTATAACGTTTTTCAAATAGATCAGCTGCTCTTAGCCAGTTGTGACCGGAGACCATCATCTGAGGCGCTGGTAATGCTGCTTTTCAGTCCAGAAGATCAGTCTGAAGGCTGACGGGGGGGAGGGGGGGCTGCCATCCCAGCCAGAAATGCCCCTGCAGTGGCTCCAGCACAACCCGAGCAAGGCAACTGGGCTCAGGCTGATAACTGCCCCACCCCCTTTATCCAAAAACTATTTCTTCGGACGAGAGGTCTGATCAGAGCTTCATTCCACTGTGGAGGAAGCACTCCTTGTAAAAGGGACAGATCAATAATTTCCCTCCCCACTTCCTCCTGATAGGTTTTTCATAGCTCAGCAGGCCAGAATCCAGGTTAAAAGAAGTGGGCTTCACAGCCACACACACTCTCCACATCAAGCAGGGAGAGCAACGTGAATTTGTCAATAGGACCTTAGCAAGACGTTTCCACCTCCTATATCCCCAACACCAGATCTAAACAGGAAGCCAAGTTGGATCCATCACCAATGAATCCAACAAAATCTTCACATTGAATAGCTGCAAGAAGGGTCGTCGCAGGGAGATTAAGCCCTGGTCCCCCTAAATAATTTTGCTGCTGTTTCCTTCCTTGCCGAGACCAGTTGTTAACTCAGCCCTCCTCGCCTCCTTTATGCAGTGGTCCAAAACCTTAGCGTGGGATGTGGATCCTCCCAGAAGCCCTAAAGGCTCGGTAACGTCTGCTGAGCTGGTGACTTTTCCTCCACCCTCCTCGTCTGCTGTTGGCTTAGCTGTGTTAAGCGCTGTGCACGAAGCTCAGGCAGCCAAGCCTCCCTTGCCTGTGACTCGGAAAGGGCTGTTTTCTTTATGTGACGACAGCAGTCGGTTTTGAGGAAGAGGGGTATTTTTTATTATTTAACTGGGACCTTGTGCAGGCTACAAGGCATGTGCAGAGGAAAGCCAAGCATATACAACTGTGTGGCCAGCAAGCGCCCTGGAGTCAGAGTGCCGTGTGGGTCGTCATCGTCACACCGGAGGGGCCATGGCGCGTTGCCAGCAGACTCTCTGAGCGCTCCGTTTCCTGGCTGGCTGGAAAGCCCGTGTGCCACACCCCCTCTAGAACTCACAGCTGAGTTTCCGTCTCTCGCATAGTTCTCCCTTGGGCTCTGGGATTCTTCTGCCAAAGTTGAGCTTGTGAAATTCTCTCTTAATTTCCAGAAAAGTTTTATTTTTTGTTTCAGGAATAACAAAGAAGATGAAAATGGCAACCAAGAAGCATTCCACCAAAAACACAAGAAAGCAATACTGTTTGAGACCTTTCTGGAAAACAAAATTGAAAATTTGAGAATGGTTATTAATTCAGAATGAGGCTTTGCTGTGTGTGACTGAGTATCTTGAATTTTCTGGCACAGACATTGCTCTCCATACTGATCAATGCTCCCCACCCCAGATACACTAGATGAGGAAAATGCTGGCTGTATTTGTCTTGCTACGTGTATACACTTGTGCCACCCTTTTACAGTTTTTTCCCTCATGTATTTCCCAAATGTAGATTCCTTTGAAATGTGGCGTTGGAGGAGACTTTTACAGATACCACGGACCCCTCCCCCCAAAAAAAACAACAGCAGGTGGGTTCTAGATCAAATCAAGCCTGAACTTTCCCTAGAAACGAAAATGACTAAACTGAGGCTACCATACTTTGGTCACTTTATGAGAAGACCAGACTCCCTGGAAAAGACAATGATGGTAGGACAAGTTGGAGGCGGTAGGACAAGTTGGAGGCAGCAGGAAAAGAGGAAGACCCAACAGGAGATGGAGGGACTCCACCAAGGAAGCCACAAAGGCCCCCAGTTTGCAAGGCCTGAGAATGGCTCTGCTCATGATAGGATGCTCTGGAGGATATTAATTTATACAGTCACTGTAAGTCCAAAGCGACTTGACGGCACCTTTCTCTCTCTCTCTCTGACACACACACAGTTCCCAAATGGGGATCCTCGGCAAAGAAGAAGAGATTGGATTTATACTCCACCCTTCACTCGGAGTCTCAGAGCGGCTTACAAACTCCTTTCCCTCCCCCTCCCCACAACAGCCACCCTGTGAGGTGGGTGGGGCTGAGAGAACTCTGACAGAAACTACACTTTCAAGGGCAGCTCTGAGAGAACTATGGCCTGCCCAAGGTCATCCAGCAGCTGCAGGTGGAGCAGTGGGGAATCAAACCCAGTTCTCCCAGATCAGAGTCCGTGCACTTAACCACTACACCAAACTGGCTCAAAGTCAACACACTCTCCAGTTAAATTAAACAGGAGCCCCATGGCTTCTCATAGCATAGCAACATATATTCCACCTTTCCACATGCATTGGATCAAGTCATCGCTGGCTCATGAAAGCTGCTTACAGAATCTATATAATCTTTCAGGTGCCTCTGGACTCTTGCTTTAACGTTCTGCAATTGTGAAGCATTCTTGATCCAATATGGACAAGAGCTGCAGGGGAAAAGGCAGCAGAGGCCGTTCTCCCAGTGGAGGTGGACCAGGTCCCTGCTGCGTCTGGCTTCCTAACCCGGCTTGGGGCACACGCCTCCTTCCTCGCGACAGGAACCGCTTCAGACAAGCTGCAGTGAAGCACTGAAGACGTTTATTCTTTTTTTTACAAAGGCAGACCAGCATGGCTGCCCCCGGGTGGGACGACCTCTGCAGCCGGTGACTGTGGTGGGCTGCTCATCAGTCCCCGCACCTCTTGCATCAATCTGGGAGGGGTCTGGGCAAAAAGAGACTGTTGCTTGCTGGGGCTCCTTGCGAGAAGCAGTGCCAAAACAAACCTGGGAGGAGAAGGCGGGAGAAGGCGGAGGTCTACCTACCACGATGAAGGGGAAGAGCATCCCAACGGTGAAGAAGCTCAGCCAGCTCATGGACCCTGCGATCATGTAGGCAGCGGGGCGCGAGGACTGCATGAACAGCTCTGCCGTCAAAATGTTCGTCACTCCACCTGGGGTCAAGTCCAGGAAGAGCTGGTTAAGGCAAGAGCAGCAGACATGAATCTCCCTGGGCCGTTTAAAAGAACACCACCAACAAAAGAAAACGGCGTGCAAAAGTTAGTCCCTCCTCTGTGTCTGCAGGGTGGGGGAGGTTAGCAGAAACCAGCTCCAGACCACTCAGATCGGTACAGAAGGATACTTGCAGCCTGTTTTGCCTCTAAAACAAGAACCACCTTCTCTGAGTTAGGGCTCCAGTGCAAGAACAGTGGGAAAAGAACCATCTCTTGAGCTATGCAGATATGGATTTGACCTGTTTTTATCTCTTTTAACCTGTTTTTATCTCTTTTCTGTCTTTGCAACTTGATCTTGTATTCCTCGCCACCTGGAGGCTAAGAAGGTGAGGCGGGATGTGAATATTTCAAACAAGTAAGAGATTTAAAGAGCCAGCATTGCTGCTGGCTTACTCTGGAGCAGCACGTCACATTGCCTGGAGCCTGGGACATTGCCCCCCTTTTCCCCCCCCCCCCCCGTGGCCCTTGGTTGTGTCCATTGCCAGGAGCTTTTTTAGTAAACTGCTGAGTGCTTTGTAGAAGCAAGTACAAGCCAGGACCCTGAAGATACCCCACTGGGCAGCAGTGAAGCGGCGTCTGCAGCACCAACCCAAAACTAAAGACAGGAAAAAAGAGGTACCTGGTCCGAGGCCAAAGCTTAGGATGAAAGCAAATATCGAAGCCATGCTCAGATACGGTGCCCAGGGGTGTGTCTGGAAGAGGAGCACACACACACACACACACAGGGCTAGCCGTTGCAGCTGCTGCACTGCTCCTGGGGCAAAAAAGGGCTGGTGGTTTCCTGGCGTCCCCCACTCCACCCCTGAGCAAGGATGTGAGGATGGGACTCTAGAAGCCGAGCCCTCCTGACGTTCCACGCCATTTCTCCCCGCTGCCCACACACACCCCCGCCCCCGAAAGCTGCATTTGGGCCACTTGCTGCCCCACATGCAAGACACCGAGGCTGTGCAGCTGTTCTTGGCGTGATGGCCAGGTGGTGTCCTCCTGTTCTCTTGCAGCCTCACAGGCCACCGTAGCCATATCCAGAAGCACGCAGCAGGGGGGACAGCCTTCTGTCCGGGGGGGTGGCTGGCGGCGGAAGGGGAGGCAGATCCCGCAGCAGCCGCCGCCGCCGCCGCCGCCGCCGCCCTCCTCGGCCTACCTTGTATGTCAGAGAGCAGGTCAGCACCACGCACCAGACAGTCATCAGGGAGTAGCCACCCAGGATGAGGCGCCGCCTCCCCATGGACTCAATCAGCAGGCCCTGCAGGGAGGACACACACCCCCGTTGTGCTCAGCACCAGAGACCCTTCCATCTCAGGAAAAGTCCGGATCTTAGCGGGGGTTTTCACTTACGCAGGTGAGGGCAGTGAGGCACTCACACGCCCCCGTCCCCAGGGTCACGTAGGGGATCTTGGCCGAGGGGATTCCCGCTTCCGCAAAGACATAACTGGCGTAGAAGTAAATCTGTGGGGGGGAGCCAAAAGCAGTTACCAGGCAGCCGGCGTCCTCCGCACTCGCCGGCAGAACAGGGCGCTTGCCCTGGCCTGGACGAGCCACTCCTGCTTGGACCACAGACAGGCAGCACCAAGGGTGTGGCCATCATACACCATTGCTCACAAGGCAAGGAGTGGCTGCTGCAGACGAGGAGTGACTGATGCCAGTCCTGGCCTGGGGGGGGGGGCAGGAGGGAGCGCCTGTGTCCTCCGGCAGGAGGGCGCGATGGGTGAGCATCCTCAGTGGCCGCTGGTTCTGTTTGCTGATGAAACAGAAAGGCGGGATTGGCCCTGGGGAGGACAGCCGAGAAGAAGCCCAACTGGTCTCCTGACGCTCATTTTGGAACGAGGGAGATGGTGGTGGTTTGGTCCATCTCTGCAGTGTTCCAGATGCAAGGATCTGACAGACACACACCCCGATTCTTAAAAAGCTGCTCTCCCCTCAGCTTGGTGTTCCGGCTTCTGAATGCTGCCCATGCAAACTCTTTCCCCGTCAGAGAGGTGGGTCCTTCCTCTCAGTTTAGTCATTCATTTATTTAGAATTTTGTCTCCCCCTCCCCACCCTCCCAGCAAGCAGGATCACAGCTGGTCGCATCATACAAGATACCGAACAAGGAAAAAAACATTTTAAAAGCCCCAGAAACAACTATTCTGAATTCCAACTCAATTACAAGATGGCATTTTCAAAACTTATGGTGTCCAAAGTAGATAGAGCCTCGGGGCTGCTCCTTAGGCCTTGTCTACACTACTCTGAACTAGTTTTGAACCGTTTCGTTTTCATGGATCCCCGCTAAAGTATCCTGTAGTGCTACCGAACCAGGGGGTAGGGGGGTGAATCTTCCATTTCTGAGTACCTTCTTAAGGCCAAAGTTTCCAGGATTCTTTGGGGGAAGGCTCTGACAATTCAGTCAGTTCCAAGCGGGTTCGCATTTGAGGTGTAGCTGAACAAGAAGGGGCACGGATTCTCACGGGAGGCGGTTTGTGCCAGCCGGGCACCGTGGCTAACGGAGACGTCCTTGGGGGGAAGGCTGGGCTCATTCTCACCGCATTGATCCCGCTCAGCTGCTGGCCCATCGGCATGAGGAAGATGGTGATGAGCTGCCACCTGACGCTGCGGTCCGTGAAGAGTTCCCAGGGCTTCTTGGGCTTCTCGCCCCCAAGGGCAACACGCTCCCTCTGGATGTCCTCCATTTCCATCTGGTAGTGCAGAGGGCCATGAAAGCGCTTCAGAGCTGGGGGGGGGGGACGGAAGGACGGACGGGAGACAAGGCAAGAGACAGGGCCCAGGTGGAACTCCAAGCACAGGACCCGTTACCCCTTTGAGGGTCCGGAAAGCTGCAGCTACTTCCCAGTTCGGATCGCGCCCACCCTCCCGGAAGCCCCAGCCCGTAGTCAGGCCGGTCACTCTCTCGCCCAGACGGCTTCGGCCTTGGCAGGTGGGATACGGCTGTGGTGGAGGGAGAAATGACACGGACGGCCAGGGCCACACGATGAGTCCGTGGCAGAGGCGCTGTCTGGCGCACAGAAGGCCTGGGAAGCGCTCCCTGCCGGCTGGGTCCCACTCCTCCCTACAGGCTAGATGGGACACGCCAGCGTAGTCGGGGAACGGGGGCCTGGCTGGTAGAGGAGGGCCGGCAGCTGCCGAGAGTCGGCTTGGGCAGGGAGGCGGTCTGGGTGGTGGGAGAGACTCGGGCGTGGGAAGGGCGCCGGGGCTGCTGCTGGGGGCGGGGCTCCTCCTGCTCTGGCGGAGGCGGCCGATGGGGCACCTCTGTCCCGTGTGACTTACCTTGGATACATTTCACCTCATCCCCTTTGTCGATGAAGAGGTACCGGGGACTTTCTGGAAACCAGGGAAGGGCCAAGAGTTGGAAAAAGGCCGGGAAGCAGCAGCTGGAGAGCAGGAAAGGCCAGTACTTTTCCCCACCAAGTAGCTCCCTGTGAGAAGGGAGTTATTACTACTAAGGCTGGAAGTGTGCAGCGGACAGGTGAATAAGCCTGGCTGAGCAGAGGAAGCAGCTATCTAAGTCCACCTCGACCCGACTTCTGCCATGGGAAGTTCTGCCTCATCAACCTTCCGGAATTCCTTGCAAGAGTCCACCAGGACCCGGGTGGGGCAACCTGGTAGCCGTTCTATAAACTGGGACGGGGGGGGGGAGGGAATTCCCTCCACAGAGGCTCCTGAGCTCACTTGGAATGCAGAGGCCACGTCAACCGGCCACAGCAAGAGCAAGGGGTCTGCGCGGAACCCGAAAGGGGTGATCCACACAGGACAAAGTCCTTGTGCCGCCGGGTCCGTGGACCTTCAGCCAGGCGTGCAGAGGAAGAGTTTTTCCTCACTGGGAACTCAGTTCCTAGGCGTGCAGGGTATGATTTGCACTGGGATCATTGACACGTGGGAAGGAGGGATTTTAAGCTTCTCCCCCAACACTGTTTTCCCTTCCTGAAGCAGTACTATGGAGCCAATATCTGCCACACTGGGGAAACATGCCTGTTGTTGTTGTTCAGTCGCACAGTCGAGTCCGACTCTCCGCGACCCCATGGACCAGATCACGCCAGGCCCTCCTGTCTTCCGCCGTCCTCTGAAGTTGACTCAATTTCATGTTCGTTGCATCTGTGACACTGTCTAACCATCTCATCCTTTGCCGTCCCTGTCTTCTTTGACCTTCAATCTTTCCCAGCATCAGGGTCTTCTCCAGGGAGTGCTCCCTTCTCATTGGGTGGCCAAAGTATTTGAGCTTCAGTTTCATTATCTGGCCTTCCAGGGAACATCCCTGTACACATACATTTTTCCAGTGGGCAAACAGTGGCTATGTGTGGCTTTTTCAGGCCAGGAGGAGGAGAAGATTGGATTTATACCACTCCCTTCACTACCCAAAGGAGTCTCAGAGCAGCTTACAATCCTTTTCCCTTCCCCTCCCCACAACAGATACCCTGTGAAAGAGCTCTTTTGAAAACTGCCCTTGAGAGAACAGCTCTAAGAGAACTTGTGACTGACCCAAGGTCACCCAGCTGGCTGCATGTGGAGGAGTGGGGAATCTCCCAGATTAGAGTCCACGCCCTTAACCACTACACCAAACTGGCTCTCAGGAAAATGACACGCAGGAAGAAGGAAGGTTCAAGTGCTGTACATCATGCTCCCAATCCAAACTGGGCCCCTGCACTCCTGAGAGGAATCCCAAAATATGTCACAAGTCCACGTGGGGGACTTTATAATACGTAAATCAGGCCAAAGTGATTCATCACAGCAGGAGATCTTGTGGGCTGGAGCTCACTTAAGCTGCAAAAAATACTGTATTTATTCATTTTATTTATTTATAACACTTTAAATCTTGCCTTTTTGTCCCTCAAGGTGGCAATCAACTAAAAAGGCATTAAAATCAACTTTAAAAACAATACATATGTATTTATATATTTATATCTGTCTATAAACAATTAAAAACATGAACAGGAATGAAGGTGAGTAAAGAGAGAAGTAAATGAAACATTAAAAAAACCAACAACGACAACCTTCACCGGCATCAAAAGGCAACCACAGAAGGAGGCAGGCGAGTTTCCTCGCAGGCCCCCTCAGCCCCTTTGGGCTTCAACCGTCCGTCGCAGCACCTTGAACTGGGCCTGAGCACAAACTGGAAGCCCGCGTGGGCGGAGTGATATGGTCTGGTCAGCATTCTTTCCTTGGGTGAGGGCAGTGAGGCACCCACGAGCCCCTGGCTCACCCGTCAAAGCTGCCGAAAGGCCCCCCGGGCCCCCCACCCACCCAGCCGCAGCCCTGGCCCTTTAGGGGGAGTACATCTCCATCCAGAACAGGAGATGACCCCTTTCCCAAATAAGACTTTCCCCTCAGCAGTAGCACCTCCATTTTGTCAGGATTAAGTTTCGTCTTGTTCGCCCTCACCCATCCGGGTACCGCCTCCAGGGCAGGCTCCCGTTCACGGTTTCCACAGCCGCCGGCAGCCAAGGACAGAGGCGTCACCTGCATGCTCCTGACAGCTCAGCCCAGATCTCTGGACAGTCTCTCCCAGCAGCTTTACACAGATGCTGAAAAGCAGGGAGGACAAGATGGAGCCGTTGGGAACCCTGCAGGCCCAAGACCAGAAGTCCCCCAGCACCCACCCTTCTCTCTCTGGGAGGCACTCACTGCCTCAGCCACCACCAACCCACCCCCGGATTCATGCATCCAGGGGGGCCAAGGGATATACACAGACAGATGGCAGGTCTCAAACTTCCAAGAATCCAGCCCGCCTCCTCAGACTGCACAAGCTTGTAAGGCATCCCACACAACTGGATGAATCAGCACCCTGGGATCTTCCAATCCTGTTGCTGCTGCTAGGGATTAGGAGAGATTTTATCTGCAAAGTGTTTAGCAAAATGATCACCTCCTCCCATTGGCCAGGAAAACCCAAAAGGCTCCTGGCCGTCTAGAAAACGTCTGCAAGTCTACACTGTGTGGATGCAGTGGTGGCATAAAATTGTATGGCTCTTTTGCTGCCTTCACCACCACTACGCAGGCTCTCAAATGAGTGCTAGCCCATGATAGGTTGTCAATTTTCCCCCCAGTCTTCCTCCACCGTCGCTTTAGTGGTCTCCCCTGCCTGTTCATCACCCGCAGCCCCTGAGCACACCAAGGGGCTGTGCAGACTATTTGATCTGAGAGACGGTGCCGCATGCAATCGCAGCAGCTGCTGTTCAGGCCATTTCACCGTTCCAGAGGTTCCATCGGCAAAGATGGAAAAGGTGCAGAAAAGACAACCCAATTGACTTAAGATTCCGGTGGGCAGCCGAGTTGGTGTGAAGCAGCAGAACAAGGTTTGAGTCCAGTCAGGCACCTTGAAGACCAACAAAGATCAATTCTGGGTGCAAGCCTTTGTGGGCATACGAGAGGGGTGTACGGGGGGGGGATTCATTTTTTTCCGGATTTGAGTATAATAAAGCTGGATCTTTTCGGGATTCCCAAATATACCCAAATACCAATACCAGTATTCTATTGGTACTCATTTTTTTTATATATTCCTGAAAATTTTTGGCTCCATTATATCCTATGGGGCCATTGTAGTCAATGGCAAAAATCTTCTAACAAGTATTCAGGGGGCTGGGTGGAGAGGGTTTGAGATAGAGGCATCAAATTTGTAATGTAGCTGATGGAGCCTCTCCCCAAAAGACCATCCAAGTTTGGAAAATATTGGACCAGGGGGTCCAATTCTAGGGGCATCCAAAGAGGGTGTCCCCAATCCTCCATTGTTTCCTATGGGGATGGGGAAAAGGCAAGCAGCAGTGTCTCCCAGAGAAAGCACAAAAAAAAAAACAACCGAAAATTTCCAGGGTTATTTCGGCATTCAGTATTCAGCAGCTGGATCAGCTCAGGGGATCTGATTCAGTATGCCAAATACCCCAAAAATGCCAAAAAAGTGTTTCCCCAGGTTTCCCACCCCTGTTCAGCTTTACCAAATGCACACCACTAGTGGATACATACTTCTTCAGATACAACTGACTTAAGGCATTAAGATACCTTCCTCATTAGGAAAGGCTAACTCATTTGGGGCATTTTACTTTAGAAGAGAGTGAGGTATATGAAGAACATTGCCTGATTGGAGACTATAATGCAATTTTTGACAAAGTGCAAGATAAGAACATAAGAGAAGCCAATGTTGGATCAGGCCAATGGCCCATCTAGTCCAACACTCTGTCACACAGTGGCCAAAAATACCAGGTGCCCTCAGGAGGTCCAGCAGTGGGGCCAGGACAGTAGAAGCCCTCCCACTGTTGTCCCCCCAGCACCAAGAATACAGAGCATCCCTTGCCCCAGACCAAGAGTTCCTATCTATATCTTGTGGTTAATAGCCACTGATGGACCTCTGCTCCATATGCTTATCCAATTCCCTCTTGAAGCCGTCCATGCTTGTAGCCGCTGCCACCTCCTGTGGCAGTGAGTTCCAAGTGTGAATCACTCTTTGGGTGAAGAAGGACTCCCTTTTATCCATTCTAACCCTACACTGTGCCCACGAGTTCTTGTATTGTGAGAAAGGGAGAAAAGTACAGCCAAACAAATTTAAAAATCTGGAACACTACTGCCAAAGATGTTTTTACAGCTAGCAGAAGAATATAATCTAGTTGATCCATGGAGAACAAGAAATCCAATAACAAAGGATTATACTTTTTATTCTCAACGGCAAAGTCCTGGTCCAGAATTGATATGTGCTGGATTTCAGCAAGTTTGTTGAAGAATGTAGAAGAAGCTGATATTTTACCAAATACTTTTGCAGATCATAACCCTGTATTCTTGAAAATTACTGTTGTTTCCAAGACATTTAGTTGGAAGCTGAATACACAGCATTTGAAAAATGAGAATTTTGTGATGGAGACAAAAAGGAGCTAGAATATTTCTTCAAGCAAAATATCCAACCGGATATCTCCATAGATACAGTTTAGGATGTGAGTAAGGACTTCTTCAGAGGAATGGCAATCAAATTTTAATAATTAAGGCAAGATGGCGGCTTAGCGATATGCGCTCGATCCTGCTATGAAGCCGAGAAGCCAAAGAAAGACCAAATAAAGACGGCATTGTAACAACCACCCAGCCTGGGGTTATGCCTGGTATGCCACGGAGTGAGCTCGAGTCTACCTGTAAGACCGGGGGTGTTTACGGGGCACGAAGCCGTCCATCTGGCACCGCAGACGACCGACTCCCCCAAGGTGGACTGGGGCGGGCGGAGCCGGCCTGGCTGGCCGAGGCTCCGGCATTTGCTGCCGGGGACTGGCGTGGACTTATCCCCGGCGTGGGTGAAGTGCGCGTAGGTGTCGTGGCCGGAGCTGGTGCGGCTGGTGAGGCTGGAGCGTGTGGGCGGCGCGGCTGGAGCCCGAGCGGAGCAGCGGTCGATTGGTGGTCCCGAGGAGTTGACGCGGAGGTGGCTGTGTGCCTGGTGGCCGGGGGGTCTGGCAGTTCGGCCCGACTCGACGGTGGGCCTGCGGACGTTGGCGGGAACCCCAGGGGAGGGTCTCCCCCCTCTCGCGGAGCTCCTGGGAGCGACTGGAGAATGGGATGTAGAACCAGACGAAGACAGACGGTGCCCAGCTCCAACAGAGGGAGTGGCCACGAGAGCTGAGCCATCCCGGTGGGAACTGTCGAGGACTTCTGCCCGCAGAGACTGGTCTCCGAAGGGGAAACATCTGAGTGGCTGGGGGACTGAAGACCCCGACAGGAGGACGTCGGAGCCGGAGGAGATGGCGAAAGCTGGAGAGCAAGGAGTGGGCTCGGTTTACGCGGCTGGGTTGGTTGGGGTGCTTAAAGCGCCGCCGGTGGCGGGCCTGGGGAACAGGCACTGGTGGAAGAAAGCTGTTTCTCTTCCCCCTGGAGGGAAGCTTGGAACTTGGAGGTGGCTACTGGACAGTTGCATGACGGGAGAGGTAGAGGGTTGCTTACATCTATGCCCTTGGCAATGGGAGAGGCAGCGGCGGAACCTTCTTTCATTGGCAACAGTTTGATTGTATGGGGATTGGGGTGTTTTAGGATCTGTCTGCTAGTAGGATGATGAGTGAGTGAGTGCTGCATGGGAGATTGTATGGTGGTGAATGTTGGTTTTAGCCCAAGGACATATAAGGTTTAGGTTACTATAGTCCTCTGGTAGGACCTATGAGGTCAGGAATCATTGTTTGTTTAATAGCACTCAGAGTGTTTTGTAGCAGTAGGTTAATTGTTAAAGTTGAGCTGTTGCACTGAGAGAGTGGTATCGCTGCGCTCTGTCATCTAGGTCTCTGGTTGGCCTGAAGTACTGCGGAGGCCACCAGGGGAATAAATGGCTGGTCAGCAAATTCCAGTGCTCTTGGGGCGGAGGAAGTGCGGTGGGCCAAGGCGAAATTGTAAGGGAAGGACACGGAGAAATAGATTGGCTCGGCGCCCTTCCAGCCTTCGGCCCATCCCAACGGTGGCTGGCAGTGGGGCCAGGATGAAGAACCCCCCTCCGTCGCTGGTGTTGTTTAATGCCAGGTCTATTAATAATAAAGCTACAACCCTTCGGGACTTTGTAGAAGAACAACATGCAGACCTGGCGTGCATGACCGAGACCTGGGTGCGGGAGGGAGAGACAGTAGCTCTCGTCCAGCTGACCCCACCTGGGTTTTCGGTCCTTCGCCAGTCACGGACTCGGGGGCGAGGAGTGGCTATCCTCATTCGGGAGGCTTACTTCTTCAGGGCGCTCCCGCCAGCAGAGATCGAGGGTGTGGAGTGTGTCGGTGTGATGCTGGAGGCTGAGGAGAGTTTGGCAATCTGGCTGGTGTACCGACCGCCTAACGCACCGGCTAGTAGTCTGCCGTTCCTGCTGGAGCGATAGGAGGCATTGGAGGAGCTTCGACCGACGGCTCTGCAGCCGCTGGCTGCACGCCCTGCAGCTGTCCAAGAGGTTGAGTGGCACCTCCCCACCGCTCCCCTCCATCGGGGCGGGCCAGTGCTCGGCCTCGTTTCCCTGGCTCGGAGTGGCGAGACAGGGCCCCGGCTGAGCCGGGGGCTCATCCATTGTAGCAGAGGGGAGACCTGAGGCACTGATGGCTGCTGCGCCGGGCCTCATACACGTGCGCTGATGCCCCGCTCCCCTCAACGGCCACTCATGGCAACTGCCACTGCCTCCGCAGGAACAGGTGTTGCAAGCAATGGCGACCCAAGCCTCAGCCTTCTCAGTCTCTGCCCGCTGGATCGTCCATCCCCTCCGTCGCCTCGCACCACACTGAGGCCGAGACGCTGGCCGCTGCTTCTGTGGGCAGGACTCCAGCAATGCAGCCAGTGGATTGGCAGACTGTCAGAGTGACGGGTCAGGGAGCCAATTGATTTGGGAGTGTGTGGAACATTCAGCAAAGAGTCACCCGAAAACACAATTATATATAAGGAGAGATAATCACTATAAGCTTAGGACAAATCTAACTTGAATAGCGCAGAACATGTACTTTTTCCAGGAATCACAATAGATTTTAGCGATTTGATTAATCAATATTAGTTTTTGAAATTATATAAACGAAAGAAACAAAGGTTTAAGATGAAGAATTTGTAACAGCTATTATATAAGCTTGATGGAAATTTTCCTATATGTCTTATCCCATTCCCTATGTCCTTCCCTTCCTATAATGTAATATATAATAGGGAAAACCTAATAAAAATCTTAATAGTAAAAAAGAAGAAGAGGCTGAGGTATAATTAAGGTTCATAACAGTATGCATAGTGTGTGGAAAGTGGATAGAAGAGCTCCCCCCCCACCTCTCACAATACAAAACCTCTGGGTCGCCCACTTAAACTAATCGGCAGTGAATTCAGGACAGATGAATGAGAAGGGTCTGGGAACAGATTGTGCTTATGAAATTCCTTGTATGATGAACATGCCCAGTGTGACAGTGCAACGTTCACTGACTCCATTGGACCAGACCATAAGAACCTAAGAAGAGCCTTGCTCGATCAGACCAGTGAGGGTCCCTCTAGTCCAGCATCCTGTCTCACACAGGGGCCCACCTGGAGGGCCAACAACAGGACACGGAGGCCGAGGCCTCCCCCTGACGTTGCCTCCGGGTGCTGGGATTCAGAGTGCCCCTGAATGTCAAGAGGGTGTTGGCAGCACTGCCCAGATCTGAGCAGCCTCCTCAGCCCCTGCAAAGGGGCTCTCTGGCACTCACCTTAAGCCAACGACTTGTCCCGTCAGAATCCCCCCCGTCAGGAATATGGAGCTTCCCATGGTCATCGTCCCTCGGAGGTGCTTTGGGGCGGCTTCTCCTATGTAGAGGGGCTGCAGGGAGAGGCCAATGCCTGGAAAGGAAAGAGCAGGTCACACCCGGGGGGGCGGAGCCTTCGGCCCAGCCACACAGCCGCCAATCCATTATGCCCCCAAGCCCCCCCCCACCCGCTGGCAAATGCGCCCTTCTGTTTTATCACCTAAAACATGGACACCCCTCCTCCTTTCTGGCTCTAGCTGTAGCACACCCCACAGCAGGTGAGCAGTTACCAGTGATCCCCTCTGAAGGCAGCTTTGCTCTTATTTGCCACCTCAGAAAACATGGCTGGGTGCATGGCAGTGGAGCGCACAACCTTCCGGCAGGTGCGGCCTTTGGGGTGCTAAAAGATTCCTGTTTAGTTTTGCCACAACAGGTGGGACATGGCTGCCTCTCTGGAACTGAAATCGGTCTCGGTAAAAAGCTTCACAAAAGCCTCTGTGATCAAAGAATGGGATATGACTCCAAAGGAGGGAAGAGCAGGGTTGTTGCCCTGGGACCCCTTCAGAGACTCTGCATAGTGTGTGTGTGTGGGGGGGGGGGTTGCGGGGCTACACACTACAGTCCCCATTCACGCCTCAGAGGCCACCTGTGCTCAGGAGGGGCAGCGTTCTTCCATAACAGCACCACCTTGTGGATCAGGAAGGAAATTGCATGTTGTACCTCGGAAGCAAATGCCCTTTCTCGTGCGCAACCCCCCCCCCCCAAGGGGGGCTGCCCCGTTCCCTGGCCAGACCTGAGGGCCTTCTCCTTAGTCATGTGTGCGCCTACCTCGCAGCGAGCGGCACTGAGCTCGCAGGGACCCGATTCATAAGCCTCATCCGAATGGGTCTCTGGGGGACACAGCAGCCCCCCACCCCCACCCCATCCCCCCGCCGTCCTTTCTGGCACCGGCTGCATGCCTCTGTGGGTCTGGCCAGAAAAGTGGATTGAGCACTGGCCTAAGACAAATCCAGTCTCTCTCCAAGAACTCTAGCGGGAGTACAGTCTTGCACTAAGCCGTGTCATGGTTCCCCAGAGAAAGCACAGCACAGCCGTATGTTCCAGCCAGTCAGCATCACTGACAAAAATGTTCTGCTCGACGTTCATCATTACGAAATGCTTTTACCTGTGTTCATGCCGATCAAGAATCTCCCAACGATTAGTAATTCAAAGAGCCCCGTTGGTGAGCTAATGCCCATCAGGAGAGCGGCAAGGATAGCTATGACGTTGTTTGTCAACAGACCTCCTTTCCTGGAAGAAGAAGAAGAAGAAGAAGAAGAGAGAAGAGATTGGATTTATACCCCGCCCTTCACTCGGAGTCTCAGAGCGGCTTACAAACTCCTTTCCCTCCCCCTCCCCACAACAGGCGCCCTGTGAGGTGGGTGGGGCTGAGAGAGCTCTGGCAGAAACTGCTCTTTTTCAAGGACAGCTGTGCCAGAGCTTGTGACTGACCCAAGGTCACATCAGCAGGTGCAAGTGGAGGAGTGGGGAATCAAACCCGGTTCTCCCAGATTAGAGTCCGCCCACTTAACCACTACACCAAAAGGCATGGAGAAAATGAGAGCAAGAGAACTCCTTTGGTTCGAGCCAACACGGAAATACTGGCATGGCAGGGCGGGGACCCAGTAGTTGCCCCTTGGCTCTCACTAGAGGCACAGTGTCGGAAGGATCCTCTAGCCTAGCCCCCTGTGCTCCCACTCCCCCAGGGACTCCTGCTTTGTGCCCAGAGGAAGTCAAAAACACGCCAGTCTGGCCCGGAGGGAAATCCCTTCCTGGCCTCGGAGCGGCATCTCTTCTCTTCGGTGTGGCACAGCTGGAAGCACCTTCACCCAGGCTCCGCCTGTACCCTGCCGGGCTTTTGCCTGCATCCAGTGCAAGAGAAACTTGAAACTGGAGAGACTCCATGGCGAGACCGCAAGTGCTTTTCTTCCCACTAAGCCACACCATGGAAGTTCTTCCAGAGGGACCCCGGTGTTTCTCCCAACAGCAGTGACCTGGAGCCATGAGACCTGGGTTCGAATGTCCACTCAGCCACGAAGCTCACCGGGTGACCTCGGGCAGGTCATGCCTCTCACTCTCTAGCCCGCCCCACAGAGTTGTGCAAATGTTCTATTTCACCAAGCTCCGTGGGGGGAGGCTGTGTGAGTGCAACTGAGAAACAAGCAACGTGGCCCTGTTTTCCCCAAGAGTAAAAATGTTTCCCTCATAACTCATTCTCTCTCTCTCTGAGCACCACAGAAGGAATAATCAATTCTCCTCTTCCAGGGTGGAACTCACCTGCCAAGCCGGATGGCCAAGCTGCCTCCCAAGTGTGCCCCAAACAGGCCTCCGAGCGAAAAGATGGACGCCACGGTGGACCAGAGCAGGGTCAGCATGCCGGGACTGAGGGCCGCTTGATGGCGCTCCCGCCAGCTCTCGTTCAAGAACCTGTGGATGTGCTGTAAGGGCAAAGAGGATGCCTGCGGCGCTCCTTCGCTCGTCCCCAAGGGAGAGGCTCTTTCACGCTCACGCGCCGTGCAGAACACACATGACTCCCGACTCCCACAGGGAAGCCCAAAGCCCTCCTCTCCCCCTCCTCTCCCCTCCCCCCAGAGGACCCCCGATCACATGACGACGAGCCATACCAAGGGAAGGGTGAGGCTTTCGCGTGGCACCCCCCCCTGCCCTGCCCTGCCCTGGCTTACGGCTGCAAAGCAGGGGTGTCGGCCTGGGCAGAATCGGGGCCCCTCCTGCGGCCAGGCATGTTCCCAGGGACCTGCAGGAACGCTCCAGCCCAGCCTGCAGCAGAAGCCAGCTCCATCCCTGCCACGGGCCCTCCCTCACACCCCCACGGTGGGAGACAGCAGCTGGGGGGGGGCGGCTTTGTGCCTGCAGAGCGGACCCTCCGGTCCTCTCCAGCTGTTGGCGGGTCCCAGGCAAGAGGCCCCTGAAGGCCCCCCCCCCCGCCGTTGTCTCCTCCTCCTCCTCGGACGCCCAAACCCAAGGCTGGCTGCGGCAGAGCTGCCCCTCCCGATCTGAACCCCCCCCCCCCGGATCCTGCTTTCATGTGCTTTGATCTTTCCATGCTCATTTGGTTTTTAACCATCTTAACAAGCATGAAATGTTACAGTAAACTTACATTGCACAGTTTAATCAGAAGAGTCATCAGCTGATGGGCCTGCCTGTCCCACATTAACAACGGTGGGGTCCGGCAAACACTCCCGGCCCGCCCGTGGCCTCCCCGCACAGCCGCTGGGTTTCCTCGGGCACCTTAGCCAGTACGGAGGGGGCAGACTCCTCTGGGCCAGCCTTTGCCCCCCCCCCCGGACCATGGAGGAAGGGATCCCCCCCCAGGCGAGGGGAAGAGGGAGGTGGGAAGCCGGGCCGAAGCACAGAGCCCTCGCCTCTTGGACCCACACGTGTGGCAGGCAGAGAGCGAGCCACAGTTCGGGGGGATCCACTTCGGGCAGAACCAGCCAGGGAAGCGAAAGCAGCCCGACTCTGACCCTCCGGCCAGTCCCTCCCGTGAAGGGGACCGGGACAGCGTGCAGAGTCCTGCTCCGCTCGCAAGGCCCGCAGAGTTCTGTGCCAATCCCCGGGGCACCAGATCCTTCCCAAGGCCCAAAGCACCCGAGGAGGAGGAGAGGGACCGTCCCACGGCCTGCTGCTGACTCCCGTGGCCTGCAGGGACGGCAAAGAGACACGACCGACCTCAGAGCGGCTTACCTCGGTGGGTGCATTGATCACAGAGACGTTGTACCCATACTGGAAGGTCCCTCCGATGCCGGCAGCACACGTGGCTAGGAAGAGAGTCCAAGTCGGAAGCTGCAGAAAGAAACGAGGCCGCTCAGCCATCGGCCAGTCCCAGGGGCCCTTCCCCAGGAGGCGAAACGGAATGCACCACCACCCCCCCTCCGCGTGCTCCCGCTTTTGCCACGCAGGGCCCGAAGGCCAGGGGGTGTGTGCAAAGGCCTTGCGCTGGGTGCTTCTGAGACCTGGTGTAACGTATTCAGAAGCTGCCATGAATGCATTAAGATGTATGTGAAACATCTCATAGGGAAGCCATGTTAAGCTTCGTCTTGGGCAGGGATTCAAGCCCAAGGCAAATGTGTCCAATCGCCTTCAAGCAAGCTGTAAGCGGGAACAAAGGTGATTGGCTCTTATTCGCTCAACCGTATTGGTTGTTATGTGTATAGTAGGCGTGGCTATATTAGCCGGGAAATGTTTAAATACCGAGCAGCTACTATGGAGGAGCTGTTCGGGCCATCGGATGTTGTACCGTGTTGGAGAAGCGCTTGTGTTGTAGATTAAACTTGAGTTTTTGCTGAAATCACTCTCTGACTATTTGTTAAGCGCTGGACTTAACACCTGGCCCGGTCTGGTGCGCCTTCCCACAGGCAACCGAGATGAGAGAGGCCCCTCTCGCCTCTGGCTTGGTCTGGGGAGGGGGCCCTTGGCTCCCGGGGGCACTCGGGTGTGTGTGTGTGTGTGTGTGTGTGTGCATGCGCACGCATCCCAGCAGAGGGCAAGCACATGCATGGTGTGGAGCCAAAGTGGAGCAGGGCTCACCACTTAAGCCACTGCCCACTTCCCAGCAGGGAGGGAGCCAGCTGGGCTGCCTCCAAAGACGGGTGGCCAGGGTGGGTCTTGGGCTGATCCAGCAAGGCAAAGTCTTCTCTTCCTCAGCAGGGCCCCCTCCCCTGGGAGGGGGGTGGAATGGCTGGAAGGGAAAGGGCTATCACGCGCACACACACACAGTTCCTTGGAAGGCGCAGCGCCAGGAGGATGCCTGCCTGCAGTGGCTCGTGGGGAGGAGGACGGCTGGGCCTCTTGGCCCGAGACACGAGATGACCCCTCAGCATGTGGCTGCAGGGAGGGACACCCCCCCCCGAGCACACAGAAGACCCCCACACGGACTGCAGGCCCCGCAGCGTCTTCACTCTCTCACGTCCCGTGGAGTCCACAACCCGCAACTCACCCCTCGGGTCTGGCAGAGGAGCCCGTGCTCTGAGCCGATGATGCTGAAAGCCCCCCCCCCACCCGGTCAGGCAACCGCTGTGCCTGCAGGGCCGGCCGGCCTGCCTCTCAGATGACTGCTGCTGCTGATGAGAGCTCATGACTCTCTGCCTTGTGATGGGGGGGGGGGGTTTGCAGAGAGGTTGGTGGAGGGGGGGGACTAACCCGTGGGCAGGATGAGCTCTGCCCTTCCTGCCCTGCTGGTTACCTAAGTGCGTGCCAGACACCCATCACCCCTGAAATGCCGGCACACACACAACCTCCCCCCTCCCGGGACAAGAAGCAGGGGCTGGGGGCACACCGTTTCTAGGCCACAAGCCGTTCCCAGGTGCCCTGTTATGAATAAAATGGAAGCACGGGGAAACGGGGTTACCAATTGCCCCTCAAAGCACACCAGGCCCTGCTCTCTTGCCAGCCGCCAGAATGACAACACTTGGTCAAAACTGCAGCACAGCTCAAGTGTGTGTGCGTGCGTGGGGGGGGGCACTGCAAGAAGCTGCCAGGGTAACAGTGTGCGTGCAGAGAAACAAACTCTGCTGGGGGGGGGGGCGGGAGCACTTCCTCCCTCCACAGGGCTGTTTCAAGCCTGCTCGGGCTCTCCCTTCTTTCAAAAAAGAAGCCATTCCCTGCCGCTCCTGTGTGGCTGCTGGGAACACTCACAATGGGGTGCAAGAGGTGTACTTTGGCTCACAGTACCCATTTGGCATCTTCATCTTGCCTTTTGTGAAGAACTGCTTCTTTTCCTCTATCCGGAATGGTGTCCCAGTCCCTTTGTGACTCAGTGACCCCAGTGCAAAAATCTTGACGAACCGGCCACAATCCTCCACTCCCACTGCTGTTGCACAGAAAAGTCCTCACTGCCCCGAGAGTAAGAATTCATCCACTTCCCCATCGGACAGGAAAACTAAAGTCTGATGTTCAAAGTACCGCTGGAACAAATGTTCACTTGCATACATACATGTTCTGTACACCGAACGAGAACATATGTAGGAATGCCAATAACCTGTGGACTGGTTTTTTATACCTAGAGGAGAAATCTCCTTTGGAAACGTTGCATCCCCACCAGTCCTGCTGCCGCCGCCACTCACCCCCAGCTCACGGGCAGGGCCAGGCAGACCACCGCCCTGCATCTCCTACCCCAGTTCCTGCCTGAGAGCGGCTCATCGAATGTCCACGTAGCAGCTGGACGATCGATTCAGGGCAAAGCAAGAAGTATTCCTAGCCCAGCAAAGAAGGAGTCGCAGCACAGTAGCGCTACTCATTCTCACCCAAGGAGGTTCCATTGGACTTCCACTGGGGAAGGGAGGCCCTTTCAGGGAAGCTGGACACACACACACACACACACAGTCCGGCCAGGCACAATCAATCTGCCGGGCGGCAACAGTCACCCTGAACTCATGGAAGGGGACAGCAGTATTCTTTAATAAACACACAAAACATTTTGTAAAGTCCAGGGGAAATGGTTTCAGGGATTTTTATAAAATCCTCTTGCGTCAGGCAGCTGGGGCCTATGCATGCTTTGCTGTTGTTGTTCAGTCGCACAGTCGAGTCCGACTCTTTGCGACCCCATGGACCAGATTCCGCCAGGCCAGGCATGGTTACTCCCAAGTAAGTTCCACTGAACTCCGTGAGTTCCTTCTGACTAAACCCAGAGGACTGTGCTGTCGGATCCCCTGGCACTGCACAGGACTGCTCCTCGCCTGCACCCCCTTCCCTCTCCGCTCGGCAGACCACAGCCTAAAACACGCCTCGGCCTCTCGGGCAAGGGCTGCTTACCTTGCTGGGGTGTCCAGTGCCTTTCAGCAGTGGTTGGTACTCCATCTTCAGCACCAGGCTGGTTGCCTTCCCTGCAAAGGGAGCTGAGCTACGGTCGGAGACTGCGAGAGATGGCCAGCAGGGACAGGAGTGACCGCAGGCTCTTCTTCTTCCTCCTCCTCCTGCTGGTGCCCCCAGAGCCTCTCAGCCCTGCCAGGCCACTCTGGCACCAGGGAAGCCCAACCAGCCACCAAGCCCCGTGGCCGCCCAGGAAGTCATGGCTTTTGGGGAGCCACTTCTCACAAAGAGCTTTCTCATGAGAGCTCACAGCTAAGGGGTGACTAATGTGCACATTCCCTGAGCAACTGAAACAAAATGAACCACGGAGAAACGCGTTGAAGAAAAAGCTCTTTGTCAGAAATTTCTCCCCAAATCCTGCATGCCCAGTCTGGAGGGCTGGGAGAAAGAGAAGACAATTACCTTCTGATTGGCCCTCGTCCCTCCCTTGGCCCTTGAGCCGGTCGTAGGGTGCTTACAGCATTCCATAGATTGCGAAGTAGTTCGGAGTGTAGCTAATGAAATCCGCAAGTGTGAAATCCGCAGAGAGACCTGCCTTCTGCTCTAAGCTGCTCAAGCACCAGTAAGAAAGGGACTGGGCACCTCATCTGACTCTGATTTGGCACGCAGGCCAGAAAAGACTGTGCTGCAGCTAAATCATAAACTCCAGCAGAACTGCTCCTGGGCACACTTTCAACGTCAAGAAACGCAAGAGAAGAACTGGGAACAATTTAGAATGGTGTCTGGACCCTTTATGTTACCAGCGACCTTTAACAGAAGTGGAAAGAACACAAGTCACAGCTGTCCAGACCAGAGAGATGACATTTCTGGAAATTTGGAAGCCAGGGAGAAATGGGTGTGTGTGTATTGCAATGCTTACTTTTGTATCAACCCTAAACTTCTTTTACTGATTGAACAGCAGAAGATATGCAGTACTTATAACTTAGTCAGTTAAATCCAGGCGGGGTCAGCCGTGTTGGTCTGAAGCAGTAGAACAAATCTAGAGTCCAGTCGGGCACCTTGAAGACCAACAGAGGTTTACTGAAGGGATGAGCTTTCATGCACAAGGCACACACTTGGTCAAATACGCTGGAATGGCAGGTGAGGTTCTTTCACTTTGCATAACTTGAACATCATCATGTTACATGTTACTTTGCTGTTATATCCCTTCCTTTACGCTTAGAACACTAACCTTTGTTAGTGTTAAAGGTGCATGGGTGGACTCTAAAGTAATTGTGCCCTCAGGAGGAGATGTCTTCGAACACCTGGCCAGATGGGCAGAGGCGGGCATGCTATAAAGGAAGGGAGCGAGCGAGCGAGTGGCCGGGCATGCAAAGTTGCGCAGGTGGAACCCCACCCACCCACCCAGCAGGCAAAGGACTGCCTGAGTCTGTCCCCCTCGCCAGCCTTGTGGTGGGACTCTGGCGACCTGGTAGCCCCCCCCCGCCCTCCGGCCGGGATCCCCCTTGGCCCCGGTGGCCTGGCGTTGGTGGCAGGCAGCTTTCCAGAGCGGCTGCGGGTGGGCCGGTGGAGGAGGCTCGGGGCCGGGGCACAGAGGGTGCTGGGCTCCCGGACGGACAAGGCAGCTGCAGACGCCGGCCTGGTCCCGGAGCAAAGCCAGGCGGGGCGGGTGTGGACGGGAGGAGCCGGGTGGTGGTGGTGCGTTGGGTGTGCTTTCGGCCTGGCGTCTCCACTTTCACCCGGTCCACTTCCTCTGCAGCGCTTGGCGCCTTGGGCTGGCTGGTGGCTCAGGGCCTCCACTGACTAGGTAAACCCCGCCCACCCCTCGGAGGAACCGCTTCTCCACCAGCTCTGGCCATGACTCCACAGCCACTGCCACGGCGGATGCCGCCGCCGTAGGACAAATCGACTGACAGACCAGCCAGCCGACCGCTGAGCTCCTCTCCCTCTATGGGCCACCCCTTCCCAGAGGGAGATGACCAGCGGGGGAGCCTAAGGGGGTGGGGAGGGAGGAGACCCCCGCTGGATCTCTGCGGGCTGGCTGTGATGGGGGCTTGCTGGTGGCCAGCCACTGTGGCCCAACTCGTCTGGAGCACTATGCTGGCATATCTCCAGGACATGCCAGAGTAACTCTAAGACATGCCAGCCGGCTTAGTCAGCTCCCTGGGCAGTTCTGTGTCCACCCCCCCCCCCACAAAGCTTCCCCATCCGTAGTCCAGACTGGCCACACCCAATGCAGAATTCTACCGGAGTAGCCCAGGGAGTCCCTGGGAAAGGAATCTGATGAGGAGAAACGGAGCTGGATGCAAAAGGGGGTTCTGAGGAAGCAGAGGCTGCCTGGGGCCCAGCTGGGCATCCTGGCAAGGACAGGTCTCCTCAGCAGAAGGAGAACAAGACGGAACAAGGATCAACTGTCTGCGATGGCGAAGGCCCTGACCTGGAGAGCCTGATCTCCTCCTCACGTCTCGGAAGCTAAGCAGGGCCAGCCCTGGCGAGGACTGGGGCGCGAGGCCTCCAAGGAAGTCCTACACTGAGGCAGGCCAGGGCAAAACCACCCCTGCACCTCTCTGGCGCTGAAGAAGCCCCACCCGCCGGGGGTCGCCATAAAGCCAGCTGTGACGTGACAGTGAAGAAGAAGAAGAAGAAGAAGAAGAGGAGATTGGATTTATATCCCCCCCCCCGCCCTTCACTCGGAGTCTCAGCGCGGCTGACAAACTCCTTTCCCTCCCCCTCCCCACCACAGACGGACTCCCTGCGAGGAGGTGGGTGGGGCACTTCCCACGCCCAAAGGCCAGCGACTGGGAAAGAGGGCAGAGCCCACACTCCAGCCCACACAGGCATGCCAGAAGAGCCCGTGGCTTTGTGGTTCAACCTGCAGTGGGGATGGAGGGTCAGAGCACAGTGACAGTCCAAGAGCGCAGAAAGAGGGATCCCCGGCACTGCAAGGAAAGCCCCTAGACAAGACGGAAGGTCTCTGTGGCCACGGAGTGAGTGAGTGAGGGCTCTGCACCTGGGAAGCCGGCTCTTGGGGAGCATCGTGCATGCCGGATGTCACAGGATGACAGGACTGCCCACTGTGAACCATGGAGATGCCAAGATGCCCACTGGATAGAGTGGGTGCTAAGGATGCCAACTGACTTGCATGGGCTCCATTGAAATACAATTAATTTTAAAAAATCACAGCTGACTGAACAGCAACCTCCTGGGCTTCTCAAGGCAAGAGACCTTCCTTCAGGTGTGACTGGCCACTGCCTCCCTCTTTGAAATTCATCACAGCACACAAAATCTGCCATGAAAGCGTGAAATGGACTTTGAACGGAGGCCCCCTACAGCCCCCAGAGTTGAGGGTTGGAATGATAGCGCCCCCCCCCCCGCCGTAGGATAACAGCCCCTGGGAGCAGTGGGAGTGTCCAGGAAGGGCAGCCATACCCTTTGCCACTCTGCTTGTAGGCACTGACTGGACTTCGCTCCACCTTCCTCCCCAGGGAGGACCCAAGGAGGCCCACGTCCCATTCTCTCCCCTCCTGCATTTTATCAGCACAACCAGTGTTCCCTCTAAGCTGAGTTGTTATGTGCTGACTCACAGATTCTTTAGCCTCCAGCTCACCCATTTTTGTCTCCGCTTGGGAAGGACGGCTCCAGAGCCAACTACTTTATGCAGCAGCCAAATCGTGACCCCCTCCCCCCAACATGTGCTGCGCCTTGCCTCCTTTATGCTCAAATCCCAGGCTGGCTCTCCGTGTCTCTCATTTGGGCTGGTGACTGACCAGTGTGCACGCTCTCCCTCTCTCTGCTGGCTGCAGCAAGAAAGGGGGGGGGGATATAGCAAAAGGAAGGACAAGGACACCCATTGGGAAGGACAGAATGCGTGAAGGCCCAGTGGGTGGAACAGGAGCCAGGAAGGCCAACTGCCTTGCACTGCCGGACAGAGAGAGTGGACAGATGGTCCCTGGGGCCAGCTAAACCCCTGTGGGGCTGGAACGGGAGCAACACCTCAGGAGACCAGCCAGACTCTGGGGGCAGGTGGTGGTTCTGAGAGTCCGAGCTGCCTTGGCCAGGGAGGAATGAACAGGAAGGACGACCTCCCGAGCGGAGTGGAGGGACAGCCCCTGGAGTGGGACCCGGGTCCCTGCCGGGAGCAGGTAAACTCGGTGGGTGGGTGTGGGTGGGTGTGTGTGGGTGGGGGGTGTCTCCTTCCAGTCTCAGGGCCGGTCTGCTACTCCGTGCTCG